GAACATGGTTTTTTTTTTTGCACCCCCCCCCCCCCCCCCCCCCATGTATTTTGCTGTGCCCCGAATCATGGGAGAACAAAGCCTACGGTGTGCTATTTGTGGATGATTGCCTTTGTTTTTACCGGCGCTCATCGAAACGGGGGTAATTGGTTTGTGGCTTGGAAGAGTGTTCGTGCGGGTGGAGGGGGGAGCGTTTGCTCGGCCGAGCCAATCAGTACCCGCCGTGTCCTGCCCCCTCTCGTTTTTTGCTGGCAATTTCTTTCTGTGTAGCGGTGACAACGGGCTGTCTGGTAAATAGGGGGCGGTGTGTTGTAAATTGACTGGCTGTGGAGACGGCGGCGGCGGTGGTGCGGGTTTAGTCGTAACTGTTTTCTTGGATGAGTCATCGGAAAACGAATGCTTGTGTGCGCGCCCGTCCCCCTTGAGTATGCGGCGCGTTCGTGAATTTCTTGGTTGACGGGGGCGGGTGTATCGAAGGATGTGGAACGCACGGCTTCGTCCTTTTTCTTCATGGTTCAGAAAACGGGCGGCAATGATTCCGCTTACCTTTTCCGGTATTTCCCATGGGAATATTCGAACCAAATGGTTTTTGATAATCGTGCTCCGCGAGAGCGGAATTGTTTCAGTGCGCAGGAGCCGTCCGTGTTTTGCCGGCGGCCACACCCAGTACCCTGAGAGTCGGGTGTGATGGGGTGGGTGGGTGGGTGGGTGGGTGGGTGAGGTCGCATGGCTGGTGAACCAGCTCAGAGCCAGCGCAGATCCTTCCGTGGGGCGTCTGAAAGTCGGGTGTGATGGGGTGGGTAGGCGGGTGAGGGTGCGCATGGCTGGTGAACCAGCGCAGAGCCTTCCGACCCCGACCGTGGGGCGTCTAAGGGCAGAGCGTGCTTTCGTGTTGATTGCACTTAGTTGGCCTTAGTAGTGTTTTGAAGTGACCTGTAGTGGTGTCTTTCTTACTCCTCCGGGGTATGGGGGGGGGGCGGCGGCGGCGGCGGCGGCGAACCCCCCGATGGTGACTGCGGCTGCTCCCCGACTTCGTTGAGGGGGGCGCGCGATTTATTGTTGTTGTTGTTTTTGTTTGTTTTTCATCGCATGTAGTATGACAGTATTTGTTGATTTGACCAATCAGCTTCCGTCCGAGAGTCAGAGGTGCAGGCTAGTGTTGTTTTCTGCCCTATCCTGCATTGATTGGAATTATCTGGATTTGATCATTTTACCCTTGTTTTCTCGTGATCGGTATCTACCGGGACTGTTGTTGGAAGTATTTTTGCTTTTTTTCTTTGTGTGGACTACAATTGTTGGGGTTGCCTTTGGACCACGGCTTCATTGCCTCCCAAGACTAGGTAGGGCAAGAGGCATTAGGGTCTTAGAGGGGAGTTGAGTGTGCATATCATAGCAAAGGGTTTTTGGGGGTGTGATGGCAACGACGGCGCGCTAATACGGTACACGCGGTTGTGTCATCGTGGATAGATGGAACAAGAGTTGATTGGCGGCCTTCGGCAAAGCGGCGAGCTTCGTTGAACCCGCGTCACCCGGGGACGTGTTCGTGGCGGCCTTCAGCAACGATTGAAACCCTATATATAGAATTATGTGTGTATATGTGCGAACTTCGTTTGGCTCCGTTCCAGTACTAGTGTCCTCAGGTGGCGGAGTTTTGCCAACAGTGAAAGCGAGTGTAGTACACCGTGTAGGCGGTTCTTAGACTTCTCTTGGCATCGGTAAACACCCTCTATGGCTTGTCGATATATCTGCCCTCCGCTGCCCATTCGCCCTTCTTTGCTATTTCATTGGTAGGGGGGGGGTTCCTGGTGAGAACTGTTTAGTGGTAGGAGAACGCGAACGAACGCAATCGCGCCGAAAGTATGAGTTTCTTCGATCAGTCTTGGCTGGGCTGCCCCTTGTCTTGTGTGTTTCGAAAGAGTAGTAGTGGGAAAGGTAGTAGTCCTTCCCGTAAGAGATGCCGCGGCCAATGGCCGATTTGCTGAGGCGCAACAAATGCATGCGTACCCAACTGCTTGATGTGCAGGACACAACGTAGTGGTGCCGAAGATGTTTAGTGTTCTAGTTGTTGGTGTTGTTGCTGCTTGTCCCGCACGGTTGACTGCTGTACGTGTGTAAAGTGCTTCCTTTTTGCGCCGTATCTGTCTCTTAATGATGGGGGGGGGGCATGTTTCCATGTTGGACATGACCGTCCTGTTTTTGTTTTACAATTGGAAGTAAGAGTCCTCCTTTTTTTATTCCACCTGCTACCCCCAAACAAAAATAGCGCCCTGCACGTACTATGCACACGTACTTGGCCGCAAAACTCGAGCAGGCATAGCAACCCTCCTTTTGTTTCAGTAGGTCTTTCCTTTTTCTTCCACCTGTGACACGTGCAGTATTTACTTCACGTGCCCGGCTCGTTTAGTTTTGGCTATTCCCTGCGAATGGGCCACCAGGTGAAGTAATTGGGGGGGGGGGGGGGGAACAATAAAAAATGGCCCTT